CGGAGGCAAATGTCCGTTACCGCTGCGATCTCATCCCATATGGCTGGCCCAGACCCGCTCGCCAGATCCCCGCAGAGCTCTGCCTGGTAGGCAGTTAGCAGCGAGGAGATGTTGAGGGCCCTGGCGGACAACGCTGTGGCCTTCTAGGCTCGATCCGCCAGCGTGGACTGCAGTCGGTCCGCCTTCACCGGCAGCGTGGGGTTCCTGCTCGGTGCAGACGCCATCCTCGGGAGGAGGTGAGCTGCCACCAGCGGTTCCATTGGCGATATGCGGAGCAGGCCGAGCCTCTCCATACCGTCACAGTCCAGGGAGGAGGCACCCTGGATTGGGGCCTTGTTACTGTAGGGACGGTCTCTCCAGGAGACCGACACCTCATCCAGCAACTCTGGAAAAACCGGCAGGAGTTGCCTCTTTCTCCTCGCTGCTTGGGGCACATTTTTCCCCTCGTAGCGGGACCTAGAGGTCTCCTTGGCCATCTCGGGCCATGAGATGTCTAGCCTGGATGCAGCACGTTGGCACACGGCCTGCAGGTCCACGCTCAGACAGGGCGAAGCTGGTGTGCTATCGTCCGGCAGAGCAGCCATCGCTCCCGGCATGTCAGCTGGAGCTGATGGTGTGAAGAGACTTTCCTCCTGCTCATCCGAGTCAGAGAGCAGGAACTCAGAGGTATCCTCTTCGTTCTCCACGTCTTCTGACGCCGGGGTGTCTATCGTGAGTGTGGCCATGGTTGGGTCCAGCCGGGGGGCCCAGCTTGGTATAGCGTGGGGTCCCACTCTCACGTCCCTAGCCGCTACCGAGTACCAGCCTGATACAGGGTGGGACTCCGGTTCTGCAGCTGCCTCCGTTGATGGACCCCAGACCGACACAGTGCGGGGTTCAATCTTTGCGGGGGACGTCCTCGTGTCCTGATAGCCATCCAGCGCATCAGAGTACGTGAGGAGGTCCCATCTCGCCAGGCTAGTTTTTAGCCATCGGCGGAGGCTCTTTCGGGACATGCGGGAGCAATGCCCGCACGAGCCGGGGTTATCGACAACCTCCTGGGCGTGTTCCAGCCCGAGGCAGGACGAGCAGACCTGGTGTGTGTCTGTGTCCGAGATCTTGAACCCACAGCCACAGAGCCTTGCAACTGAGTTCCCGGCTCCTCTGGTGTGAGGGAGAGAGGCGGCCCACTCTCAGCAGGAAAGTTGCCGGGGAAAAAAATCAAACAACTCGTCCTTAGTCCGGAGAAAAGCGACGGCGTAGATTTATTTCCGAAAGGGGTATTAACTGGTGTGTTAATAGCCCTTAATTCTTTTCTTCTCTGGTATGAGAATAGAAGAAAACGTCCTCGCCGTCGTGGTATCGATAGCGAGGGAGAAAAGCTAGCGGCGTGGTGTGCAGCTAGCTTGAAGTCAAAACCTTACCTCTCGATTTCCGGAGAAAAGGAAAAAAAGGTGAGGTTGAATGTGGTACTAACTGGTGTGTTAGTACCTACAATCTTCTCTTCGAAGAATATCTAAGGGTAGCTCGCGAGCGTCCGTCGACCGAATTTAGCTAGGATAGCTTGGTTCCGTCTGTGGACAGTTAAGCTGCGCGGCAGCCGATAAGAGATGTGCTCTGAAGCGAGAAGAGGTGTTTGAATGACGCATGCGTCGTGGCGCAAGCTACTTATAGGGGGTGGATTCCCTGACGATGACGTTGAGATCACCCGCCAATCAGAATTGGCGTAAATGAGATTGATGCTTCTGTTTGCTCCGCGATGAGGCGCATCCCATAGTGAGACATCGAACGGAGTGTTATGAATGAGAACTGAACAATTCAAATGGCAGGAGGACAAACAATCCATAGATTTGGGGCAGCAAAAACCACATCACCAAAGCATTTAGTCGTGGATTTGTGGACAGACTGAGGGCTTTGGTCAGAGCATCTGAGGTGAGTGTTTTGAAACACCCTCAGATTGCCAAATGTGCAACAACCCCTCCATTGTGTGTGCCACATTGCAGAGATTATCATACTGGGTTAGAATGAGCAAAGGGTAAAGAAAGGTGAAGGAATACAGGTTAGCAGCAGGGAATCATTTGACGGAGAAAATAAGGAAAATCCACCAAAAGAGCCCAGATATTATCTGCCATGCTGTCAGCCCACTGTGCCTCCACCGTGAGACCCCTCCCCCCGCTGCCTGTGGCCCATATCTGTTACTCTTTATCAAGAAAGCACAACGTTCTCTCACTCAGGAGAACATATGGGAGCACGTCTGTGCAGTGACCAGTAATGTATGCTGCTGCTGCCTAAATGCTATCTCCCACACTCACCACTCAAGGGCTTTTATTTGGTTGTGCTCACTACAGCCCCAACACTGGACCTACTGTAGGAAGACATCAGAAACTGTTAGAAAACCAGTTCCGTGCATCAGCACCTCTCTCTTGACCAGAGATCCTGAAGATCGTTTCTGCTTAACGCTTCTCACCAAAGCAATGGAGCATGCAGCTTCAGGATAATTACACTTCAAAATGCAAAGAACCTCTCTTGTCCTTAGGTCACAATAAGACTTTAGATTGCCTTTTACAAGATGCAATAAGGTAATAATAAATAGTAATGATGAGTTTTAGAGGTGTTAAGAATTGTAGAGAGACCTGAAGTATATTGAAATACAATATGGCTTCTTAAGTGGCAGTAAAGTAAAATCAACACCCCTCTAAAACATTTAAAACAAATACTTAACAATTGTAGTCTAATACTCATGAATGAACAGTACATGCCTCTGCATCTGAAGACAAGCAGTGTTTGGTCAAGCTAATATTCAAATTAAATCATATAAATAAACATTTGCATGGTATCAACTATTTCAAATAGTTCCCTTTAAGCAGCAGTAACACTGGGTCAAATGCTTTGTTCCAGCTCACGGTTTATAAACTCGGACCAGGTGTGGGAATTCATTCATGTGAAAATATGTGCCGCACCTGGACCCATATTTTACAACTCCTACGTAAATGTGCTGACTGCAGATACCTCATCATGCTGAGTGTTTCCCTACTTTCTCAGCAGTTAATACTTGCAATAACACCAACAACATGCAGCCTCTGACTGAGTCAATAAAGAACAACCCCATCTACCCTCTTAAATAGTGTGAATTACAATGTTCCTATAGCTTGTTTAGAGTTCAACTTGAGACAGCTGTTTTTGTAAAGTGTGAAGAAACATGTCCAAACGGTCCGATGAAAACCTCATTCAGTGAGAATTGTTAGGTTTGAGCTCTTAGATCATTTTTGGGATAATTTGTTTGTTTGTTAACAATTTGTAAATTGTTTTTGCTTTATACACAGGCGTTTCTTTATTAGCCTATTATTTTTATATAAAAGTGTTGGACAAATGATCATGTCATGAAGGTAGGATTTATTGCATATTTGTTATAACACTCTGGTCTTTGTATCCTATACAACTTCCTATAGTACCATTCACATTTTCAAGACGTGGGTGACTGTGCCACCTACTGGGCATGTAATGTAACAACTTTGAAATAAATATGATTTTATATCTAAATATTTTTTTTAACAAGGGAATGCTTATAAACATGCAAACACTAGTGATGATGATAAAATCATTTTGCAGTGTCTTGTTAATGATATGCCAGCACAGATAATGTCTGAAATTCAAAACATTACACTTTTATTTCAAGACACCATGCGGGTTATACAGCATTTTTCTTTCTGATGAGGTTAGATAACGCCTTTCAAGTTTCCACCACAGACAGATGTTTAGACAGATGTTTAGATAATACTGTGTGGTATGACTAAAGTATGGTTAGTGTGTCACTGATAAGATTTTTTTCTGCTGAAGTAAAACTGTTGTTGGGGTTTTTTTTTTTAAATAAAAAAAAGTGATGTATTCTTAATTTGAAAATGCTGATCAACTCAAAAGCAAGAACATATTTCATTGCAAAAGAAAATGAAATGAGTAACGCCCAGACTGCTCCGTTTTAAAAGGGTTTCCTCTCCACAAGTCCCCAGGTGAAGAAAACATTAACAAATATCCTTCACCACAAGATAAAGAAAATACTTACCTGTACAGCTCCACTTTTCCTTCCGTCTGGGTTAGCATCAGGTGCCGAGAGACACAATGCAGGAGTCCAGCAGGTTGGCCAGGACAGTAGTAGCATTATGTACACACAAACCATAGAGTATGCATTTCTTTAGGAAACATTTCCACATTATGGATGCAGTAGGATACAGGAAGGATAAATGCATTCTCTGTTCAGGTCAAACATAGTGGACGGAATAATGGATTTGTGGTGGAGAGGACCAACATAAGTTTTTATGTGTAGGAAATTGAATACCTGTTGTTGAGAAGGATGAGTATGTAAAAAATAATAATTAACTGCTTCTTTTCCCCGTTAAGGCTTTTCCATCTTTCAACACTGTCAGTTTTTCCTTGGCATATTCATTAATTGTTCTGCATTATTACAATCTAAGTTTATGATTTGATCTCTAAGGCAAACTAACTGCTCTTGGACAGACATTTGTGACCTGCTCTATCGAAATCAGTCGCATTGACCCGAAGACACATTTTGAGTTGTATACACTGCTGGAAAGAGGATATTCCTAGCTTTCTAATGATATCAGGATTGTTTTTGTACTCCAAATATTAAGCGAAATATGTCACATTATATAATGACTGTCACCGAGTCATCATTTTGAGAAAAAGGCCTTCAAAGTTTTCTCTTCTCTGAGAAGAGAAAACTTTGAAGGCCTTTTTCTCAAAATGATGACTCGGTGACAGTCATTATATAATGTGACATATTTCGCTTAATATTTGGAGTACAAAAANGACACATGGTTTCTGTTTGGTGTTTTACAAATGCACTACGACAATCGATGTTAGGTTCTTTGACGGATACAAATGTGACCCGCTCTATCGAAATCAGTCGGAAGTCGCAACGGCTCATTTCAAAATAAACGTGGATTTGCCGATAGAGCGGGTCACATTTGTATCCGTCAAAGAACCTAACATCGATTGTNCATGCTGCTGTCATTCCAGCGCTTCAGTGTGATCGTCTCTTACATCACACCTCTCAGCTGCGGCATCGACATGCTTCCTCGACACTCTCTCTATCCATACAGCAGGAGGGCCAGGCAGGCGCAGTTGCCTTCTGGCAGAGCACGGCCATTACAGTCACACTGACTCATGACAAGCTCTGCATGTCTGTCCAACAGGGTTTGGAGGGGAAGGAGGGAAACTCAAGGCTTACTGGACAGTGGGTCTAGGGAGGCTGTCTGCTCTCCTGCATCTCCTCTAAACTCTGTCTCTGATCTGCTGTGTGTTCTGTGTGTTATTTCTAGAGCATCCAGGTTGTAATGCAAACTAACACAACATACCTTCCATCCCAGAGCCGTGCAGAGCTTCATCCACGTGTGCGGTGTTGTTGTGGTCCAGAATCTGTGACGTGTTTGGTGCAATCTGTCCGATCTGTGTCTAGGTGTGCCACTGCTGTTGCACTGAAATGAGCTCTAATTTGACATTTCTGGTCCTTCTCACCAAATCAGCGTAATGGCAAAACTAATTCTATCAGTGAAACATGTTATAGTCAGCCACTCGCTCTATGCAGGCTGCCGTGCTACAGATCAGCATTTCAACCCTCAGTGCTTTGTGTACTCTCCACTACATCACTGAGCTGTTGCCCGACACTGTTTCTGTGCAGAGTGTGAACCTGCTCATCTACACTGTTGTTTCTCTCACTTTGTATGTTCCAAGGCCTGCAAGGAGGCAGGAAAAGCCCTGGTGGCAAAGGCCGCCAGCCCTCCTTTTGAGACCCAGCATAATCACCTGCTGCACTGCCTGGAGAAGACCACGGTAAATTCTATTTTCTTTTCTTTTTCAGTTGAAAAACACACACTCACTTATCGATCAGTCTTACTATCTTGGTAACAGATTTGAGACAGTTTAAAATAACTCACGGTAAAAAAATAAGCTTATTTGATGTAATGTTGCATCACCTCTGTCTGTGCTGTATCATGCAGCAGTGCGGTCCAGCTACAGTGTGTTGCAAATAGAAACAACGTGAGCTGTTTCATCCATGCACAAACTCTACATTCTATATTATATGCAGCACGCGTTAAAAATAGCTGTAAATGGGGAAGGGAGATGTTGAGTCCCCTCGCCAGCAACATGCTAAAGATAACATGACTCAGCCAACCAGAAACATTACGCGGCTCTCAAACAAACAAGCACACCTCATTTTACACAATGTATAATTTACAGATGTAAGAGCGCCCATAATGCTTGGCTGTGACATGATTTTCACACTTGCAGCTCTAAAGCCATGGACAGGCAGTAAATCAGTCTCCCTCATTACACTGTATGATCCTCTCCGTAGTGAAAGGCTTGCTTGTCGTCCGGGAAAAGCTCCAAAAAGGCTTCTTGCCATTCAGATGGCAGCGCACATGTTTACATTAGGCCCATCATGGCGTGCATTATAGATGGCAGGACTGACAGAGGGAAGGTATAAGAAAGGAGCTGTGATTCAAAGCGTGGCATCAGATCCTGCGGTGCTCCGCTGCCACCTGCTGGCTGCGCCGGAAACACATTTGGAGCCTGACCTTCAAGTCATTCTCATTTGTCACAGGGATAACAGTTGTGAATGTTTTCACAGATGGCACTTAATGCGGACATCTGTGCCAATATATTTCTATTCCCGTGATGACTCATTTTCAAATTATTAAACCATTTTACTGTGGATTCTGTTCAGTCTGTTTAGTCTTTACCCATTATTAGAGAGCCAATCATCGATGTAATAGAGTGATTAATAAGCAACATTGAATCCAAAATGTTCCGCCATTTTCCTCTACAGAACCACGAGTTTGTGGACGAGCAGACGTTTCAGGCCAACTGCATGGAGATCTCTGTGATGAACAAGTCGGGGTCCTGTGCGTCCTCGCTGTCCTCGTCTCCACACGGCCTCAGCTCGTGCTGCTCACGACGCCACAGGAAGAAGAACAGCTTCAGCCTGCCCAGCACAAACAACCAGGAGCTCAGCACCATCCAGATCAGAGAGAGGCCGATGGTCAACAGGTAGTATCCTCTGTTTGATTCACACACACATGCAAACGGCATCATATTATAAGACAAGATACACTTTATTGATTCCTTGCTGGAAGATCAACTGACACATTTATTCATACAGGTATATATATAATAAGATAGTATAAGGAAGGAAAACATACTGTTGCTTTCCTGTGGAAATCAGGCATCTCTTTATTTCGTTTTTATGGATTTTATGGCTAAACTGAGGCATCTTTTGTGGATTCATTATATTAAAAAAATGCATTTTTATGAATCATCAAACACGGTTGTTCTATATCTTATTTTGGAGATACATGGATTTCTTTGGACGGCTAATTAAGGATTTTTTGACATGTTGGGTACGGACATTTACATTGCATGTGATAGTCTTAAAGCGCAAATTCACACAAGATATGTTAACGCCTTTTCATTTTACATACCGCTACCTCTACTGGTATATATCTTCAGACAGTTTTATTCTCCATGGTCTAAATAAATCTATCTTTGAGAAATCTGCTTACAAACCAGCACATTGGAACTGAATGCGATTGAGTTTGTGTTGCTCAAAGATAGATAGAAAAACAGCAACATGTCCCTCCAGAGACAGCTTCCCTAATCCACAGGAATTGCAGTTTTCAGTGAAACTACTACAAAGAAATAGACCCTCTTTCTGTGAAAACTGTAGAACAGCTTGTTCTTTGGATTATCCATTGCAACTAGGACACTGTATTCGGTGTCGCTGGTGCATTTGATGCTGTAAACTGCAGTAAATGAAATCCAGACAACCTTTATTATACAGCAGAATTATTAGAGATGAATATTTAATAGAAATGCTGTAAAATCTTTCATTCTGACTGTGAGAAACCCTGTTATTTAATTAATTGGGTGAAATGACACCCATTAATCTTGGTGTGAAAGATACCACATACATAGCTGAGAATGATTTTTCATTGGTTTGCCTGTCATCACAGGTTATCTTCTTCTGTGAATCCTAATTGCACGTGCAACACGACAGTACAGACAACAAATGAGGATGTATTTATCATGCATCTGAAAACACATTTAATTGGAGGATTCTAACATGTTTTGGTACAAGATGGACCACATGTAAAAGAGCTTTCATATAGCAATTTCTCTAGCCTCTTTAATCTCGGACAAAAGCAGAAATCTACCCTGAAAACATAGATATGGTTGATGAGCAACATGAGACAACATGAGACAAGGCTCCTTTATGTATTCACGGGTATTTCTGAATCGTGGCTTTTATACTGAAAATGTAAAATAATAAAGAACTCTGTGTAATGCAGGCTTTGTGTAATACATTCACATGGACAGAGCTCTCACCTGCTTCCATCCTGTGTCTGTTTTACAGCCGCTCCAGTCTGAATGCCAAACTCGATGGGACTGCGCCCTTGAAATGTGACAAATCTTACATCACTCCTTCCATGGTCAGCCTATCTGCCCCGGTGGTGACCTCATCGGACGGGCACGGCTCCACCACCACCTCCACATACTCTCAGAGCAACATTGTCCGAGTATCTGCCTTGTAGATGTCATGCTTATCTGATCAGCAAACTGGTCTCAAGAAGCACCAGATGCTGAGGAGAGGGACCACCGAGCATCAACCTGCCATAATCTAGAGGGATTATAAGATTAGCAGAAATCTGGGTTTTTTGAAGTAGTGATCTCATCTGATGTCAAACTCTGCATGGTATTACAATGATGTGGACGGCTGCCTTGGATATATGAGCGAACCAGCAGATCTTGCTCCATTAAGCACAGCAGAGCAACGGGAGTGTTTGGACTGCGTGGTTATCGTTGTTGCCTAAAAATACTGAGAAAACTTTATTTTTGAATATGTAATGTAGTTGTAATTGTTGTCTTCTGGTTCAAAGGAGGAGAGGCAGACGTTACAAGGTCATTCATCATGGCCTCTGATGACAAAGCACACATATTCATTAACCAAGGGCCATCTTTGTGAATATTAAATCCGAATACTTACACAGAAGAAACATTCACTCACCACCCACTTAAATAGATCATTTTGAAATCCCTCAATTAACTGCTTTCCAATAGTCACTGTTGTAAATTCAGAAAACATGCATCCACTGGAATGGATAACTGTTGTGAATATTCATTAACTGACTCATTAACTGGTTGGTGTCATCGCTTGATGAGTAAAATATGCTTCGCATCATGACATGTTTGTGAAATGTGCAAATGCAAGTGAAAATGACAGAATCTGTGTTAACTTACATATTTGACATTCTGATATGGATCTATGTGAAAGCCATTGTCATTAATTAACAATTGATATTGCGAAGTATACAGGGTACATACAGTATTAGTTAGGTCACAAGGTAGGGACATAAGTTAATGTTCTCCGCAACACTTAACTAATACTAACCCTAATGTTGACTTAAACCATATGAAAGAGTGTTGGACATCAATTCCACTGAGTTGCTCTTAAATTCTAATATTCATTATAATCAGCGAGACTTGGTAGATTTCACTGTGTTAAAGGACCATTTTGTACATTTTTCATATTGTAAATATCTCAGTTAGAATTTATCAAATGCATTTGAAGTTGGCTTCTCTTATTTCTAGATTTAGTTGACAGTTGTTGCCATACTATTTCTGTCTGTTAACTGGTTGAATTAAGGATTTGCATGCTGTCATTGCAGAGTTCTGTTTTATTAAAAGTATGTCTTCTTGTCGGAGGTTTGTCAGTAAAAATGAGATTAATGAAAGGAAACACAATGAGCCTGGTATGTTATGATGTAAATTCTTTGCTTTTAATGAAATGAAAATCTTGTCATGGGTGAGGAAAAAGGGATAAATAATCACACATTGTGCATTTGGTGCAGTGGATAGAATAAATACTGTAGCTCTACTGAAAAACCCATTAAATGACCCATGTCTTTTGTTTTTAATAGAGTGCACTTAGGTGGATTTCATCATGTTTTGCCTGATTACTCAAAGAGCTAATAATAATAGGATGGGATAATAATTAGGTGCTGCTGGAGGACATGTGAGGGCCTGACTGTCCCAGTGGTGGGGCTCTGCTGCAGGGTCTCTGGAGACAGACAGGCGGGCCTCAGTGATTGTTTGACAGAGGCCTCCGCTGCGGCCCCCTGCTGAGCCCGCTGCGTAGGACCAGGCTGTTTCTCCCAGCATGCAGCGTCTCCGCTCTGCCGTGTTAAATAACCGCTGTGAAGTCAGGCAGCATAAAATCTAAGATAACACAGCGGCATATCAAATAATAAAACCTCCTATACCCAAATTAAAATTCACACTTTGACGTCTGGTTTAACTTTGTTACTATGTGAACAATGACTAGAGAAACCATTATAGTATTCAGTTACATACTGTATATTGAATTTGGTCTAAAGAAAAGTAGTCAGAAGTGGAAATATTATCACTTCTTAGTGAATCTGGACACACATTTTGTTTTCAACCTATAAAACTCCGTCCTAAACTGAGGGTTCACTGCTGCATATATGATTGGGTTACTCAGTGATGTGATGCAGGTGACAGACACTGACAGGATCTCCACTTCCTGAATGGCTTTCACCTGAAAAATCACAGGAAATGAAGTGTTTGAGAACAGATACAACTTGGAGTAATTCTATCAATCTAAAGAATAAAGCGTTTAAACCTTGGGCTCTGAATACGTGTCAGATGTGTATATCATATATTGTATGCCGAAGCAGCCCCTTTACATTCAAAGTCTGGATATATTACTGCAGCATATACATCTATATAAACACATAGTGTGCACAATCATGACATTCTTAAATAGAGCCTGGAAACTGTGAGAGGCCCGAATACACATTTTAGTATAAAGCACAGTTATTCTTTCACCCACTACAAACTAAAACCTTTTACAAGACAGTAGAAGTTCAACCCTTACCAAACAAATACGTACCTGTGGGTTTTTGTTTCCGTGGACAACACAATTAATCAGGATAGTGATGATCAGTGGTAGCCAGAACAAGAGGAAGGTTACAATGATGTAGCCAGCCCGCTTTGCCATTTTGCTCTCCTTCTTTTTGCTTGCTCTCTCTCTACTTGCTTTGGAAGGCATCATGCAAACTGCACCTTCCACATCTTGTTTAGTAGCTTCTGCTTCTGGGACATTACTTGAGCCGGGGGGCAATGAAGACCCCTGATCTGCTGTAGAAACATTCAGCGTTTCCCCTCCATTGTTGCTCTTATCTTGTTTTGGTTCAATCAGTAAAACAGAAGTGGGTTCGGGATTTTCTAACTGTGCAGACGAGTGAACATGGGGGCTGGCTTCTTTCCTTTCAGAGGGCTCTTCGTCGATGTTCACTCTTTCTTTGGACTGCTTTTCTGTGTTGAAATTGCTTGACACCTTCTGTGGCTTTGTGGTTGAGCTCTTAACACTAGCAGCAGCATCTCCATTTGATAGTTTCGCCTCAAATTCTGTGCCACAGGGATTGGGCTGCTCTGCTTTAAAAGGCTTCGTCTCAGACTGCTCTGCAACCTGCAATGCAGGGGGATGAAGTGTTTCTGTTTCCAAGTCAGATATCACTAATGTGTTTTTTAATTCCTTTTTAATCTCTGAACCAAGTGATACACATTGTGGAGCTTTTGTCAAGGCCAGTATAGCATCCGCAGAATCTTTGTTAGAAACATTTTGTTCAGCCGGTAGTTTCTCCCCAGCAACACTTTTGCTCAGGTTTTGCTCAGATTTTCCGTGTCCATTTTCCACTGCTGCGGTTTCTTCTTTCTTCTGCTCATCTTCTGTTTTGTCTTTCTTTGAAAGAGGAAAAGAACCTTTGTCAAATATTTTGCGATTGTGTGTTCTCACAAGGAGAAATATGCTTGTGTAGAATCCAATGATAACACTAATGCAAGCTGTCCACAGTGGGAACAACATGTAAAGTCCAAAGGTGTCATAGCTGGATGATGTTTCCATTGATAGTCCTGTGCATCTTTCATGCACCGGAGAGTCCTTCATGAGTATCAGAGAAAAGGCAGCAACCAGAATAGCCAAGGTCCACATTAGAGGAATCAAAACCATAATCCGTCTTCGCCTCTGAGTGGTGGTGAAGGGTCGGGCGATGGCCTGGTACCGCTCTGCGCTGATACTGGCCAGAGTCAACAGTTGGATGCAGCAGCTGAAAGAGAAAGAGGCCACTTGTGTATCACAGATTAACCGGTGTACGTGTCCTCTGTGGTTCACAGTGATGACTATGGTTAGGAGAATGGGGCAGTCAATCACACATCTCAGGAGGTCTATGACTGCGAGGTTCACCACCAGTGCATTGTTCACATTTTGCAGGGATTTTTGTTGATAAACTGCCAGTATGACAAAAAGATTTGCTGCAATCCCCACGGCACAGGTGATCAACAGGATCAAGCTGTTGGCAACTACAAAGGCAATGTCAGAGTACTCCTCCCAAAAGGTGGTGTTCCCGGAGTCCCATGCAGGTGTGAGCTCGCCTCTCATCTCCAGGTTCAAAGAGTCAACATGTTCAGTTCTGTATCTTCATTCTCTCTACGCCGCAGTGAGCCTGCTTTGCTTGCTGGCAAGTGATTCTCCACTGAGTGAATAATATTAATGGGGGAACCTGTAGCTCTGATAAGTATCCGCCCTTTTCATTATCACTCCACTGCCGCAGCAGGTCACCTGGGAGTCCTCACTGTTAACATTCATTAAAGACTGTGCAGTGTGTCCACAGCACAGAGGAATGGAAAAAGGGATGGTTGTTAATTGAAAAGTATTTACGTCACCACTGTCTCAAAAGTAGATATGCAATAAGGCTGATGGTATGGCACTAAGGTGCATCGGATAAACATGCAGGATGTGTGACGTGAACAGCTGTTCATTTCCTTTATTACAGTACCTCACAATAGGGTTAAAAGCCTTGCATTAAGCAGATGGATGACTTGGGAGTTCCTGAATTGGCTCAGGAAATAAAGGGAGCCATGCTGCTGGATGATAGCATAGCATTGTGTAATCCTGTTTGGAGATAAAGTGTGAAATGCTCTTTGCTTCGAATGTAGAAGCTTATGGTCTTGGCCAAATCTGGGATTATATCAACAAAATACATTTTCCTCCAGACCATCCCACAAATTAAACTGATCATGTGTCTGTCAACATTGTGTAGATACAAACAAAGATTTTGAAAATAAACTGTGATGAAACAAAAAGCCACGTATGGAATGTCTGGCACTAAGCAAATTACTTTTTTTAGGACGCCATACGCTAAGACATCACATAATGAGCAATATATAAAAATAGAAAGAGTACTTGTGATAAAAAGGGACGATTGTACATCAAACGTGCCAAACAAGTGGGAGGGGACAGGACAAAATAAGTAGCAGGACAAAATCACCCAATCTATTTTTAACAACAGCCCAATTATATATACCAATCACAATAGGGCACCCACCACTGAGTATGTGCAGTGATGCAAATAACTTTTTTTTGGAAAGTATTCAGACCCATTTTTACATTTGATCAAGTTGCAGCCTCTTGCAACAATAGTTTGCAATTTTTAAATAACAGATCATTCTACAATACCCCAACAATACTCCATAAAAACCCCATAGGGATTTTAGATATTTCGACAATTTTATTAAAAGGAAAAGGCTGGAATATCACATTGACTTCAGTTCTCAGAACCTTTGCCATGACAATTAAAATGTCCCTTATGTGCTTCCTGTTTCTCTTGATTGTCTTTAAAAGTGATTACACATTGACACATACAGTGAATTAATCTGATTGGACATGATTTGGAAAGTCTCTTTAAGGTTTCACAGATTATAATGCCTATGTGAGGGGAAAAAACAAGCCTTGAGTTCAAAGGAACTTAATGAATGACGTTGGAGTACAGATTTGGGGAAGGCTAGGAGCAGATCTGCTGCACTCGAGGTTCCCATAGGCACATTTGAATTACTTTCGGGAACACGTTTAGAGCAACCACCACTCCACCTGGGGCGGACTGCCAAACTGAACAATCGGGGGGAGAAGGGGTAACGAAGAAGATGATGGTCACTAACGATGAGCTCCAGGAAACATGAAAGAAACTTTTAAGGACTATGAGAATGAAAAACAATTTTTTTGCAGTTTGCAATCAATTCTTACCATCAAGTCTAAAGGACGTGAGGTATATGACACATAATTCAGCTTTTTGTAAAAATAAGATTTGTCAGTTTATATACTCAAGGTTTATTGTGAAAAGATGCTGCATTTAATCACATTTTAATAAACATAAAGTACAAATAAATAAGGTAAAGTAGATCATATAATTGTCCCTCTGAGATCAAAACATTATAGCACTAAGTCAACAATCAGAACACTCATTATTTGTGTCCTTTTTCTTTATTTTTATTCAGTGATTCATATCAATCCTTGTTTCGGGTGACTCAGTGTGGACTCATGCGTGGACCATATAAGACACAATGTCCTGGCTTTGAATGAGACTCAGATTTCTCGTTACCTTTCTGAACCCAAACCCCCCTCTGAGTTCTATTCATAAAAATACTAATTATAGCACCTATTTAACTAATAATGACAATATTAAGCATATAAATACGAAATTGAAATAGCACAAAGTAAGCCAGGTAAGAAAAACATAGAAAGCAGCATTTCACAGCCTGACTGACTTCCCATTGTTAAAACATGAGCAAAGTGAGATGTGTAGCAGGCTCGACAACCGGTGCACCCAAACGCCCCATGTTCTTGATTTAGTGGGTATTACAGAACTGATTTATATTCATTATGCTACTCCTATGGATTAAGGCCAGCCACACAGTGTGAGAGCATATTATGTTGCCTTTGCAGCTTTCCTGAAACGGGTTAGTAATTGTTCTGAATAAATCCTGTATTCACACAGGTGCTTATGAGGGAAATTATGCATGTATACCTTGCAGCAATCTAATAGTGTGTTCTGTGCAGCATACTCCTGCAAAGTGTGAGTGTTGGCGAGCGTGAGGCCTTGTACGTTATTCGTCCAAGCTGTCAGTGTTGATGACACGGTGGAGCTGGCTATGGTCGACATTGATTTAATAAGGAAGAGTTGCCGAGCAGTATGTGTTTAACTAGCAGAGTATTTGTTTCCAAAAAGGGCAGCACAATCTACTAGATATGAATAAATATTTCATGCCACACAGAATGCTTTTCACCAATTTCCCTAACATGTAACCCGACCTTCAGAAAGGAGTGTCTTTTCACAAAACATGTACAAAGGTCAAGTGCATTTTATTTATAAACAACATCACAGGGGTCAAAGGTTTCACTTCCTCACAGTCTCTCTTTACAATCTGGCTGTATTTGACTTGCCTATAGTTTTGTTAAAAATGCTAAACCCCCTTAATTCTTGGCTAGTTTCCCCACATGCATATGTACACACCTGGAAACATCAATATGAAAAAGGTTAACGTTTATTGGTCTACACAAATCACAGAAATAAAACCGTATTACTGAACACTTTGTTCTAGAAAAATGGAATGGACAATAACTAAAAGGAAAACCTTGCAATATAATGCAATTCAATAAAATTACAAAACTAACTTTCAGACAAAATCAACTAAAATCTTTTATAATCAACATTTTGGAAAGGATTGGATTGCATTACTGTGTTTTATAAGGTTTTCCACTTATTATGTCCATCTTCAATCCATCAGTCAATGATCCGATCTGCTCTCACTGGGCTGCAGGTCGGACCCCTCGGAGAGACATGGGCGTGTAGATGGTCTGCGTCCTTAAAGAGGCAAACAATGACAACCATGGCAACTTCTTGTTTTTTCCTGGAGGAGGTCACAGGGGCAACACCCTGCTGTGCGAGTTGGTGCTCAAGGCAGTCAGCCGGCTCCTCCTGTTCAAGGTCTGCATGTTGATACTGACATCAGTGTGAGCGTGAGGTATGAAGTGACCGCACGACAACACCTCCAGAGCGGCGTCACGGAACTGTTGGACATAAAGAAACCAAATGCATGAGCTTTAATTTCACATGCAATTCAAATCGATGTTACTGTGCATGTCTTTCCATTTAGCAAGCTCCCTTTCTTTGGAATCTACTTCCTGTTTTTATGAGGGAGGCAGACGGTGTCCAAACCTTTAAGAGTGTGCTGAAGATTTTCCTTTGAAAAAGCAGATAGTTCAAGCAGGTTTAAGATTAAGTTGGGTACATGTTATGGTATTTTTTGTTTTATTATATTCTTATTCTCATTTTGGTGTCTCATTTCATTATATATATAGATATTTATTTAATTATTTATTTTGTTATTTGTATTTTACATTCTATCTTGTCTTTTATTATTTTATTTTCATTTTATATCTCCTTTAGCAGATTGAGACAAGCTGCTTTGTGATATTTGGCTTTAAATGAGCTTTGAGTTGATTTGATTTTCAACTTCACAGCTGCTTACCTGCTTGTTGGCAAGGAAGTAGATGATAGGGTTATAGACAGGGCTGGTTTTAGCAAAGTACATGGGTATGGTGGCGACCAGAGGAGGGATGTAAAGCTCCGGATCCACAACGACCACCACTGACAGCACCGTGTAGGGCAGCCAGCACACAAAAAAAAGAGAGATCATGGCCAGGACCATAGTGATGGCATGGTCATTCTCCTTCTTGCTGGAACGCCCACCCTGCAGCTCCACACTCCTGTTAAGCTGCGAGTAGAAAGGAAATGTGACTCCCATTAAAGGCTAACAGCTCCATTTAGTCAGTAGGTGGTTAATTGCAAACACAAGTATGTGGGTATGAGTTTTAAATCTACTTCTAATGGTGTTAAAGTGTAATGAATATACAGAAGCCATTATTGGGCCCACCTTGTTCATGGATTTCAGCACTTTGGAGTAGCAGTAGATGATGATTATGACAGGCAAAATGAAGCAGAGGAGTGTGTAGAGGATGAGGTAGCTGTAGTTGCTCCACGACCGCTCCTCCCAGGCCAGAGAGCAGGACGTCTGGACCCCCTCAGGTCCGTAGGAGCTCCAGCCCAATAAAGGAGCGACCGCCCAAAACAAGCAGAAGAACCAGACAAGTAGCAAGCCAAGGATGCTTCTCCGCATGCTCATCTTCAGACCCTCTCTGGGCTTACACACCACATTATAACGCTCGTAGGCAAGCAGCGTCAGAGTGCAGAGAGACACCAGACCTAGGAAAGAGCAATTCATTAAAAAAAAAACTAAGCTTAAAGTCAAACTACTCTTTTTTTCTGGAGATGTTCACTAATTCTCATGGATGCTCTCAGAGAACTGTGCTTGCATCTTCAATATCTCCATAACAAATTGAGCGAGCTCCATCCACTTAGAAAGCTATGTTGTTGAAAGCTCTGAAAGAAAAGCTACTGCGTGTGCTTTGAATTGCGTTGAAACTTTAAATCAGAAAAACACATTTTTCAAGAAAGAAACATTTAATTGACAACATCTGATAAGAGCAGAGACATTTTTAAAAAGCTTCAAGCTGAGCCAAAACATAAATGTGTTTGTGTAGCT